GAGCTGAACGTACCTTTGTTTGTCAATAATATATATATATATTTGTTTTCATTTTCCTCGACGCTGCTGCTATTGTTGATATAGTTTGCTTTTGTTCAAACACAATACTAGTTGGCCTGTTTTTATGCGTGTGATATAAGTACGCTTCTCGAGCACTGACGGTTGACGACTAAGCCAAACGAGGTCTCCCCCTTTAGACATTGCTGGAATAAGTAGTAATAGGTGGCTGGCTCTTTCGCGTCGTACAATTTAATGCCACATGAAATAAGGCTACGGATCAATTAATTTTTTTAATGTCAGTTTGCATCAAGTGCTAAGTCTGATGAGGTTGCAATGTTCGCCAGGGGCGCGCCGTTGAGGCATCATCTAGAGAAGGTGTGCCATAGTGATGTGTGCGTGATGGGATGCATATCTATCTATTAAAAGGTGAATGCACACTTAAGCTATGTCGGTGAGAGGCCTGTTTGGCAATCATTGTCAAGCCATAGTTTAAAGGCAGCCGCCATTAATTTAGTATCTTTGTTTGTTAGACGGTTAGTTGGAAAATCAAATATCGACCATCTAAAATTCATAATCATTTTTGCTACGTCCGTTTAAACTCGATAATTTCAGAAAGTCACGCGTTCTCTAAGCATGACGCGTATGCGAAGGCGGGTTCACGTAAAAGCGAACACTTCTGCAATTTTTCACCTATTTCACGGTGGACAGTGCCGCCGCGATTGGACCCCAACAGCGACGGTGGAATTATTTCTTTTGGCGGATTTTGGCAGCGATGTAACAGCGGTAAATGATTTTCCAGCGTTCAATGTTAAAATGCATGTTACAGAAAGGCTAAGGTAATGTTCGTCGTATATTTTCATATCCTATTATGCTACGGCGATCCATGCTGCTAAAGGTTAGATTTCCGTTTAATACACTACAACCTAGGTTTCTTACAAGAGTTGTCAGTTATTCAAGATGGCTGCGTTCGCACGGTGAGGCGGCTCTTTCCTTCTTTCGCTTTTCTAATAAACCCAAAAACGCAAGGACATGTTGTTCAGAGCTTGTATTTCTTTAGCGCCTCTGTCGTTCAGCACTAGTAGAACTCTAGGTCCTATATTATGCACGCAAGCTGTGCCACAGTGTCGACGACGGCGATAGCGGCCCCGTGAATCTGCGTTCACTAGTCAGACGGGATAGAATTGGCCTGTATGCGATGTTCTACATTATGACGAATATTTGGAATAAAACAACTGTTTGATTAATTGGTCATTTTATCATAAATAAACCTTTGCGATCGCACGATCGTTTAGATATTGTGTATTTTATAGCGATACGAGTTCTCTATCTTCTATCATAAATATATCAGGAGTAATCTCAGCTATGCAATTCATACAGGGTTGCTTTTCCCTTTCTAGCCCTGTTTTCCCGTAGGCAGCGATTGTCCAGAAGGGCTAAGCGATGCCGGTAGTCGAATTAAAGACAGTTCAAGCGGATGTCATAGGGTGCTAAACAAAAAAGCGCAATTTGTCTTGGGCTTGATGTCCGTATAGCAATTTCTCCAGCAGTTGTGAACGACATTTTGTTAGTCCTTGTCTTCATCCTCTGTCTGTTGATTTGTCGGGAGTTGTCTCCGTAATTTCACTGTTAACTGAAATTACTGCGTTTCTGTTGCCAGTAATAGTAAATCTATTTTCTACTTCACCGTGGATAACAACACCGCTCGCCAGAACGCGTCTATTGAATTGAATTGTCGAAATAATAACAAATATGCTCTAACTGTACTTTCAACGGCTCTCAGGTATTTAGAGTCAGTTGGCGCTTCTCCGAGAAAAACACATCGTAGTTTTGGCGCAGTGGATAATCAATGTGCCTGCCAATTTTAGGCATACGTTGCAGCCTAGGTTCCCTTCGTGTCGGCAGGAGCAGCCATCTGTCTGTTGAAACGCCTAGCACTGATATCGGAGGTAAAATTCCCTCCATCGCTGCCGTTGCCGTCGGTAAGACCCATTGTATGTGTGTGTGTTTCAATAACTGCACTTATACCCCGTTGCTTAAATAGAGCACAATCGAAATGTTTATCTGTACATGTTGTTCATTTGTACAGAGTTTATCCGCTCGTTCAGCAACATGGAACAACAGTCACACAGCAGCAAACGAGTGTTGCTGGTGAAGGCTGTATCGTATTGTAATCATCGATGGTGATTGCGCTAGCAGCCGCGATAATAGCGACGAAACAGAGACGAAACGCGCGAATAGCTACGAAAACCAAACCGCTTGGACTACTAGCAAACTTACTAAGACGACAAAAACAATCCATTTATCGTTCGCTGTTAATTAGTGTAAAATCAGTCGAGTATTACCAATGTCTATATTTATACAAACATCGAACAATATCCAAGAAGCACCGCTGCCCGTTGTAAACCAACCGCTTTAAATGTATGTCTCTTTGCTAAACCTGTAACCAGATTGGGAGGAATTATCAAGAACATAAAGAATAATTAAGTACTCCGTGAGTTACAGTTCAGAAAAAAGCCGTTCCGACGAGTGTGCATCAACTATCAACGAGAACTATAGCTACTTCGATCGAAAACTTCAATTTCATTGAAGACGGTTATGCGCTTTTCGACTCGCAGAGATAAGCTGTGCGGTTTATTTATTCGTAAATGATGACGTTCCGTCTCGCACGGTATTTCGGGTGGTTGTCATTGTCAGCATAGCGATAGCCATACATCTCTTAGCCGAAACCATAGGAGAATCTTTGGACGAGTAGTAACTAACGCAGCGCCCCAATACATCGTAATTCGTATGTGCATCCCATGAAGCGGCGTTTTCTTCCTCTACGTTCTGCACGAACGGGATCGCTTCTCGTCGTTTCAGTCCGAAAAGATCAAGCGTCGACGTGTGCTGACACAACTAGAGCATGCTATTCGATAGGACGTACAACGACAACGATCAGTAACTTAATAGTGTAAAAGCCCTGAGACCTTTTGGGCATCTTAACAAAATTCGCACGTTCACTAACCTATTTTGTTCAGAATTTGACTGCTTTATGTCACTTCCACGATTGCCGCTCAACGCCGAGGCGCGACCATGCTTCGGGTGAGGCGTACACGTTTCTACGTGATAAAAAAGAAAAATTATAAAAGTTGGTAGAAGATAACAAACCCGCTTAAATACGTCAGGGTTTATTTACTTGCATAAAAAATCTTTTTGAAAGCTATCAAGTACGTTGCAAAGCAGTTGCGTGACAGATAAATGTTCCCCGCGAAAATCGTTTAAGGAATATTAGGCCTTGATGGAGAAATTTAGAGATTTTTGCATACGCTTCTTTAAATTTCGAATCGTGCCAATTGGAAAACGGTTGATGTAACACAACGGCTCAACGATGCACATTGACTATGTACAGTTTTATACATTTGGCACAAAGCCAGATAAGGCCAGGAGAGCTACTTTCATCAACATACTCTGGCAATGATGCAATAGATAGCCTCACCATTGAGCTACGCGAAGTGAAAACGCGAACGAGACACTCTAATGATCAATTTGTTCATCGATTGCCGCCAACTCTAATGTACGGAATTCGCGCTATGGCTGACTTTTCAACAGACCGTCACATCGATCAGATGCTGAGTTTAGCGATGACGTTGTTACTTGCCAGAACTATGAACGTACTCAGGTTCGACTGAAGAGTTTCGTCACGGAAAACATAAATTCTACCGAACGGCGCAAGAGAAGCTGCGATTTATGTGCAAGAAAATGCGGTGAAGTACTTCCAACCCATATTGAAGAATAATCATTCTAGCCCAACTAACTCAAAGGTTATTCAATATCAGTGTCCGTCGGATTCGCCTGTAACAGCCTAATCTTGCATTGCATTTTATAGCTAATTACGAATGGTTTTTACAACATACATAAAAGAACAATACGAGTAGAAACATGACTCTAATTATCGTTTGATGTATCGGAAGTCGCGTTTTTTTTACACCGCTATCTAAATTGAAGGTCGCTGTAATTTGGGTACCTCCGCACCACCTGGTAGACTGGCTGTCTATGCTGAATAAACGTTCTTCAAATAAGCAGTTTTCAGAAACGTTCCTTCGATATACGCGTTCGGATTCAGAAAACCAGCTTTCCAGCAGAAGCAGCTCAAATGTAACAGTGAAATTCCGGGGCAAACTGAAGTAAGCACATTACAATACAACATAACACAAGTCTGTATTTAATAGGCATTGTTGTTGTTATTATTCAAGTGAGTTATACGGTGGAGGGTACAATACCGATTCAGTGACGCTTCAAATTCCGTCAGTGCCTTTGTCGGGTCGTACCCTCTCGTACGCTCTGCGCGAAAAGGTGTCACGAGGGAAAAGTACGAAGAAATCTGTTTTCCAATATCTTCATGTTTTTATCGTTTACCGTTCGAGCATTCATTATCGGCTATGTCAGAGAACATGGTTTGGAGCTATTTAAAAAGAATGGCGCGTCGCTAGATAAAAAAGGCTTTCTTCCTATTAAGCTTCAATGTTAGTGAGTTGAGTTAAAAAAGAAGACGGAATGAGAAACGAAACAAAAGAATAAGAGAAAGAAACGAAAAAAGGTAAATCAATAGGAGAGCCCAAAAATCAACATGTCACGGGAAAACATGCGACTCGCGATTCGTTCGGCTTTTATTAATACAGACAGTACGTTAGAATACCTAATACAGTTTTACCCATACGCAAGTTGGAGTGGGAAACCAATTGCTCTTGACTTTGCAAACTCATAAACCCTAACAATCATTCATAGCTTCTTTTACTTACTTTAGCTTCGAATAGCAGTTGTTTACGGGATTACCGATAAAAAAATAAGGATTATACCTTATCTCGATGTATTAGCATAATTCCGAATGTCAAACATAGGTTAACGTTGCCTTCAAGTTTTGTAAGTACAAAATATCTCGTTGTGTCTTCGTCGTTTTATTGAATAATGATTTTTGCTTATCTAATTTTCGAGCGGTCTTCATAATGGGTCACCCGTCGAAACGTAAAAAGCGAGCTTATGTTTGGTAGCAGTCCTTTCTCTATTAGCTAGTGTAGACATGGTCGCCGATCATAATCAACATATAAGTGTTATCCCAATATGAAGATGCGGCGACAAGAATACTTCGTGGAGACAAAAATATACACAGCAATACTTCGACAGAAACGCTTGACAGAAATGATAGACTATTTTTGATGACCAGATGAATATCTGGTAGAATGACCTTTCCGAAGATCCCGTTCTCGCTCACCGTTTTTGTCAGCCCTTCTAGCTTTCGAACTGTGGCATCCTTCGTTGTCAACAAGTCTAAGAAACCGCTTGCTGTTAATTTTAGGCTCCCTGTTACATCACATTTGTTCACTCACGTCAATGAAGCAGAGCGTGAAGAATCTGAAGAACAGTAGAGAAATATTTCAATATATTCTAAATAAAGAGGGTAACGTCAATTAGCTCAGCTTCCCACCTATACACGCACTAGAGACATGTCCTGCGGCTTCAAGACAGCTAGCTACTTTCTGAAGCTAGAGAAAAGAATATAGAAGGACTAGTTTATTGGCCTGGTCGGACGCAAGAATTCTGTTGTGAACGTCGCCTACCTAGAAAAACTAAACAGTTCTATGTGTAAAAAACTTCAAGCTCCTCACGGCAGTATTTGCTCACAGCCGCAAACAAACAGCCTCGCTATAACGTAGAGTATTCTACCATTTTTTTTTCCCTCAGACCAACGTATATCAAAACGAATTGTGGAAGGTAACTTATTTAGCAGTCTCTGTACGCGCTTCGAGGAAGGAATCTGACTGAACGCGCAATTGAACCCGATATAAACTCAAGTGACTCAAGGAATAGCTCTCGAGGTAGTGTTCAGAACATATAGGATTTAACTAGTTGGTAAGCATGCCGAGTGCCCTTCGCCATTTACTCGAACCAGTCAAATACTGCTTGACAAACTGCGACAGATGAGAATTTTCATCTAGCTTCTGATACTGTTACTCTCTAAAGGGGATGCTTCAAAGAAGCCTGCAACAATATTACAAGCTAACATTGCGAATATAATTATACGTTATAGATAACTAACAATATTATAGCAATGATTTCATTGTGTGAACCCGCTTAAATCTACAGTACGCGTTCAACAGGCACTTAGATACGACAGCCATCATTGGTGCTTTATGGAAATGTCGTAGCGGGAAAGATGAATGCTCACGAGTGAAACTACCTATTTGACCAGTATAGACTGAAAGGAATGATACATCTGTTGAATTCAATGGATTGTCTCGTAACTTTTGTCCTCCTTTAGGTTGCGCTCAGCTGAGAGAGATCATATGATGATTATTATTCGACGCATCAATGTGTCCTGATCCAACGTGGGTCAACGGCCATTGAACGTGTGCGACCCTTTGGTCGTGTATGGAAAATCGTAAAACGCACACATTTGACCTAGAAAACACGCAAGTGCTTGGGTTACTTAAGGGGCTTAAGTGACAAATTTTTACGGCAAATAGAGCGTCATTTTTTTACAGTCTTGAATAAACCGTAAACACATTTATTCTTCCTCGATAACAAACACAAGCGATTTCGTTCTATCTTAACTATTCTCAGAAACATAACTATCGCTGTTACAAAATCAACTGAAGTAAGTAGCTTTCAAAAAAATTATCCATTTTCGCTGAACAATATCAATCTTATGATCAATCGAAGATATCAGTTCTTTTCCGATATTCAACTATATCATATTCTTCTGAAGAAAATCTTAGTAAAACAAACCCCAATATTTCGATTTCAGTTATTATAAGCACGCATCAGTGTAAACTCACCAATAAGCAGTTATATAAGCCTATCCAAGTTTCATTTGTTGCAAGGACGCTGAATAGCCACAACAGCTTCGCATGGGATTTCTCTACCGTGGAAAACACTCTGCTAAGTTTGAAAAATATAACGGACGATTTTGTTATATTATTTCCAATTCAAGATGTTGTCATATCCATACAGAGCATTTGTTGATGTATAATATTTTTTCATGAGCTCGATAAATAGTCGCCCTTACCAAGTGAGGATCCGTCCACCCTGCGAACGCTCAAAATGAGCTCGGGCTGATCGTGAATAAACGAATCGGAGTATAATATCGGATAGAGGGAATGTGTTAAGAACAATGAACCATATCAAGCTGAGTATTGATGTTCCTAAACTTTATACTGTTTTCAACCATGTGCAACCCTCGAAGCAGGCCGACGACAAAAGCCCACAAAGAATTTAACCGAGTCAATTTCTGGGCCTCTGCGTCTATCAATCCCGCCTTCCCCCTAGAACTTCTGCCGTTGCCTCCCAGCAAGCGGTTGGCAGAAAACCTGCGCTAGCTTCATTTTGAACAGGAAATGTCTTCTTGGGGGTATGCTTGTTGACGGACGTCCCTTTATGATAACTTATTATTAAGTTCCGCTACCTTTGTGAGATAGACCATTATTATCCATAATGATCATCGTTATCGCGCAATCTTAGTGTAACCGGGGCAGGCCTAAGGGAGTCTGATAACAATGATACCGAGACTTCACTAAGCCGACAAAAGGTTCTGGGTGGCCAGAATTGTATACGTATACCGGCATGAAACTTTCCTGAATTGAAGTGAACTGCGGCGTTGCTCCGGTTTCCCCTGCAAGTCTTGTTTTTTAATAATATATGCATACATATTTGTTACAGGAAGTAGTCAGTTCAAGGAGCACCCTTAATGACCCGGGTCACGTGCTACGTTATCGATTCGAGCAAAGCAATGCTCAATCATTGTTCTATGATTGTTGCTTTATTAACATCTGTCACAACAACAACGCACGATTAGACCACATACAACATAGAGGATGCCATAGAAGTGCTGAATAAAAATTATTCCAACAAGTGGATCCGCACACACTGCAGAGAAAGTAGCGGTGATGTAAACGATTGACATTCCATGGATAATGAGCCATAAAAACGATTGCCACAGTCTTCTGCAACGCTTGGCCCGATTATGCTTTAATCAATGACTTGTCGGATCTAAACCCCTAGGAGACGACTAGAAATGTCAGGTCAGTGCTCAATAGTGCTCACTCCACGCTCCGTATCAATACTACATTTTACATAGTTACCGGTGACCGAATGGGCCCAGCATCTGAAGAATACTGCTCCATATTGAAATAACCAATAGAAGCGCTGTAATACAGATACCGCAGAAATATTTCAGAAGTATTGTTCTAAACAGGTTGTAAAAGAATTAAAGCGATGTCAAGGAACCTAGAGAGTGCGTAAATTAGTGGACGAAGATCTGTGCATATAACTGCTAGGAAACAATCACGCTTAGGTATAAACTGATTCTCCAGTTTGACCGTGGCCCCAGAAAGCCAACCATAAGAGGATGGCCTCAATAACATAACACTTTGTTAAATCAGACACGTATTGGAAATTTACGAAGACAACGAGGGCGCGATAACTGAACACGACCCGTAAAGTACGTGCCGTACTAAGGACGAGACGAACGCCATAGATTTAGCATGCCAAGCAGAGAACAGCACTATGCGACAGAAGGTATCAGTCAAGCGACGACAAAAAAGGCAGAACTGAAAGCGTGGCTGCTTAACCCCGCGCAAAAATGGCGTTCGATTCCGTTTAGGATGTTTTGGATAAAAACAGCTGATAGAAACGAAAGCGAAAGCCCTATATGGAGCTGTATGCAGGAATTAGAGCGAAAATAGGGATTTCCGCACACTTCGACATAGAGGTCACATGCAACACGATGGACCAACGCCGTTCTGTCAAAGCTTCTCAATAAGGACCGACCATCATTATAAATATGCTACTACACAGGGGAAACCAAGACTGGATGGATTGGTGTCCGACAAGGTAAACAAAAAGAAGAAAACGATCAACTTTCAAATTGTCAATAAGGAGACTGAAACGCTGTCATATGATTTCAGCTGTCTGGTTGACCGTCGTGACCCGTAAAAATATATCTCAAGAAAAGAGACAAAGCTTATTCCAGCCACAATCCCCTCACAGAGTTACAAATACTAAGAGTCATATAAAAGCCTATGGAGGGCAAAGCCAATAATAAGATTTTAAATGCAAGCTTCAAATAGACTGTTTGTTAACAATTGTAACCTGCAGAATGCTCGATTATTACATTTATGCAATGACCAACGCAATAATCCACACAAATCGTGGGTCACTGAAAATGACATTTTCAAAGACAGGTCTTGCACAAATGGGCTTTAACGAATGTATCTCGAACTTGTGAAATACGAAAAAAGAAACCGTCAACTATTGTTTTAGTAAGGTTACCAATTTGCTGATCTATTGACCTCACGTGGACATAATCAAACGTTCGAACTAGCGATAGAGCGGATGATGAAGGGACTATTCAAAGTCCATCAATAAAAAAATTAGCCTATTCAATATGGCTAGCTAAGCAAAGAAAAGGGCGTTCCGGTAGAAGTTCTGGTGAAATGGAGCATATACAACGAATTAGCTGTGGATCGCAGAGCGGTTCTCCAGGGGGGACCAGCATTAGTGCTCTCACTGAACGTCAAAACTGGGTTCTTAAGGCATGACCGTATGCAAAATTGTATTTTGCATAAAATGCCATGTGGTGTTATGTTGACGTTACTATTTTTTTCCAAGTGTGATACGAAAAAGCAGGTAAGGTGTTGCATAACCTGTCGGACTCACACGGCAAAACAACGTATTGAACCTCTTGTAAATAAGGCTATCCCAAAGTCATGATATATAATCGGGTTACTGTAGATGGTCATAGTGATTATTTTGATTGGTATAATTTAGAACGTAGTATATTATTGAAGAAGAAAATCTTAAAGCTCATAAATAGACCCCTCCCCAAAATCTTATGGTCCCTCACCAGTTATATTTTTACTATCTAGACAGAAAAAATTGACAAATGCAAGACGTAAGCGACTCATAAAGGTCATAGAATGACGTCAAGAAACAACACGAAGAGCGCACATTCGCAGCATTGTGAAGCACACTTTAATTATAGTGAGTCAATTGGTCTAGGGTAAAACTTACAAATTTTTCATAAGAGTGGACAGTGGCCTTTGGATAGAACATAGCACACAAAGGGCATACAAAACTTGCAAAAAGATCCGAGTCAGATAGATAGAAATGGACGAGGGATGGATAAAGAAATAAATGCTGTTATCCTGTTTACTTCGATGTAAGTGATGCAATTAAAGATTTCAGTTTTTTACATCTTTAGCAAGCACCGATTAAACAGGAGTAAGTAGTTTAAGATCTAATAGAGTCGGTCAAACTAAAATATATCAGGAGAAAAAGTAGCAAATAGATTTAACGACGCTCTCACCGGAAACACCGTCGGTCCAATAAACTGCAGCAGGAACCCAAGTTCAGTCGGGAATCCTCAAATTATAAAATAGGTAAATTATCACTTCGTGCCAGCCACTCAGAAGCACTGCAGCATGCAAGTGTCACCATATCGTTCTATCCAATAGCAGGGTTCCCTGTGGCAAAAAACATGGGGCGACCGGTTAAAAAACGGATGTCTCAAATTTAAAAACCGCGCCTCTACGCTATGCCTAAACGGCAGTGCCTAGTCAAAGTTACCGCACATGGCTTGAATGTATAGAAGTATGACTACGGTCCAACTGAAACAAAGGATAAGAAACTACAGGCTATGGCCGGGAATGGATGACAGGAGAAGGAACTGGTCGGATGGTTTGCGGTGATAATTGGTCCTCCGATTTACAACAGAGCCAATGACAAATTGAACAAACCTAAGCAACGCAAAGATTCTTAAATATAAAATAAATAAAAAAAAATATCAATATCTATATATATATATATATATATGTCTGAAGCTGAAGAAAGGATAGTAAATAGTACCATAATAACAGTACTCAACAATATTATTGATCGTTCTATATATATATATAGAAATTCCTACACATAAAGGATACCACCGAACTTTCCGCGGATACTCCAGCACATCATTTTAAGCTTAAGAGAATAGTTTCAGATAAGAAGTTAGTTCATGCGCCCGCAAAGTTAAGTAGGTATGCTTTGGTCACTGGTAAGTATGTCAATCAGACAGGCAGGACTCCTATACTTTGAATAGCAAAAATACGTGTGTATCTCGGAAAATTTTGCCTATAAAAACGCATAAAGCAAGTGGTTGATGACGTACAAAAGGGCAACTAATTATTTATGACAAGAGCAATTCATTAAAAAAATTACATATAAATGTATGTATATCAATAAAATGTATATATCACAATTTTAATAGGCCTTTTTTCATTTCTTCATTCATTTTAATTCTATTTTTATTCTTATTAAGTAGTCTGGCTATACAATTATTTAAATTTGCCGCGCTTTGTCAACAGTGACTCTACCAAAACAGCGTGACCCCGTATGAGACATCCATTCATTTGCATGGTTACGTGCTGAAAGATCGTGTACTGCTACTTAAAGAGGCCCTTAAGCTCTCTAAGATACTTGTATCTCTACGATTTTTGTAATATCATATGCACCTCAGAAGGGGCTCGAAGAACTCCGTCTTCGAAGATGCCGCATTCCAGCCCAACTTGTTTCCACTTTTTTGATAGTATCTTTACCTTTAATTTACCGACTATTCCTACACCATAAAAAAATATCTTTGCTACTTTACCTTAGATCATTCGTACATAGTATGTTACTGTTAGTATCGTTATTATGAACTATGATACTTGCGTTAAATCAAAACGTTCTAATATTTAGCGAGTTTAATATCTAATTAAGTACACGGTGCTGCGTAGACGAGTACCATATAATTCCTCCATGCACGTACAATACTTTGTACTAGCTATCGAAGTGTGCAATAAATATATCCTAAAAGAGTCGTATTATAAACAATCCCAAAGCTTTATCCGACCTCACTATTTCTTTGTATTGCTTCTATGAAAAATTGTAATCACGACAATTCCATATTTATCTATACACACAGATAAAGAAGTGTTTTCCAACTACTTGCTTCTTAGCTCTAGGCTTAGTTCGTAATAATTTTTTATCTTTGTCGCTGCTGTCGCAAGAATTTTTTCACTGTACAGTGATGTCGCAAATAGAGGGTCATGTAGCACATTTAAGGGCTGACGGCGGTAGCCCCGGTCGGCTGCCATATAAAAAAGCCGAATTGACAAATCCGTCTATACATTCTAAGCTCGTTCGTCTATATCATATGAGATACGGGGTAGCAGGGCTAGAGGAGAAGAAGGAGATAGCACAGTTTCAAAACGGTCGCTTCTATTTCTAAAGGTGACAGCGCGCGGATGTTTCCTTTCACAGGAATTACCGTCGCTCCCCACCAGCCACTGCCGACCTCGTCGATGCCAGTACTCGTCGTGGTAACTCCAACGTCCATTTCCTAAAATTTATCACCAAACTTTGCAAGTCGTGCGCCAGTTTCTCTAACGAACCCAGCTCTCGATGCCTATCTATCTGCCTGCAGGCGCACCGGGACCTAATAGCAGCTGGTCGGCCCAGACGACATCAGCGCTATTTGCCCGTTGTAGCGACCGCCGCTTCCGCCGCTCTGGTGCGAACCTTCGAGGATCTCGACGACGAAATCTATGGCTTCAACAGCAGGGGCAATGAAACGAGTGTTGGTAATGATTGCCTTGCTAGGTAGGCTCAGAAAAATAGCACAAGCAGCTTGACTTACACAAGGCCCGACTAACCCAATAATCCAGGATGGCTGGTGTACCAATTACCGACTGAGTCGTCCAGACAAGCTTAAGCGCTTAGTTCCTTTCGAGGCTTTTTGCACCGTTCTACACCTTTTGAACTTTTTTGTTTGTGACGCCTCGCTTTGTGGCTGTTCTGACGTTCTATCAATAAGAAATTTAATTTTGCGCATAGCGTATTTTAACGCGTTTACATCAACCAATTCCCCTTGACGTATTGCTGCTATTAAAAAGTTATTCGCTGGTATGGAAATTGTTAGTAATTGGTTTACGCTCTAAACTGCGGTTGAAGTCACGGTCGGTAGTGGTTATATCAACTAATACTGACCATCGGGAATGACATTTCTAGCACATGCAGAAGTTTCGTTTTTAATGTGCCTGCTTCTGTCTAGACACGATCTCAGAATGAAGGTATAAGGAACTTACATGTCGTACCTATCAACATCTTTTACAGTTGTCATTCGTACTATCGTCGGCGATGCCTTACGCCTGTTAAAGACCTGCTATACTACCGTACTGATATTCTTTATGGGTATCTTTAGAGACGTGCGGATTCGTAGTGCGTTTAAAGGGTGTGAAAATGTAGAAGAACATTGTTTTGTACAATAGATTTATTTTCCGACATCTGCAGAAGATCTTTCGTTACGATAGTGAATTGTAAATATATTTTTGCTAGACAGGTATCGTTACCTGCAAACAACATAAGACAGTGATCATTTCCACAGGCAGAACTGCTTAATTGAAGACTGTTCAAAAATTAGTCACAGCCCTACAGTAGAACCACGACAGAGTAGACGGGAGATAATTGTAAATAATAAGAGCTCCAATAAACTTGTTGTACGTTACCAATATTGTCGTCGGTTTCGAACCTCGTTACACATACTTCTTTTCCCGATCTAAAATAATGCTCATGTATGCATTTATACGTGATATGATGAGAAAAAATTGAGAAAGCTATAGTAGCGGGAGTTATGGGAATGCCTTGCGAAAGTGCGCTGAGATTTTTTCAGAGAAAAGGCTTCTGAATTAAGGCCGCGTTTTAGGATTTTGACCCCAAAAAATCATATAGGCATTTTTGTGAATGATACTGGGTCTTTAGATTAGTGATTAATGGTAAATTGTTGTAATGATGCGATATATTAAGTTGAGATTAGGATAGATTAAGTCTATGGTAAGGTATGGTAACACCAGATAACAAATCATATTTAACCAAAAACATTTGCCTACATGAAGATCCACTCATTCATAGAAGACTCTTTGCACATACAACTTTGCAGTAGTACTAGTATCTTTTTTCTACTGAAGGTATATTTCTTTGAGCCGCTTAAATTGGGAAAACAACTATCATATAATAGACTAGTTTCAAATAGCTGTCTACTTCCTTGAGAACTTAAATCTTAACTTCGCGAAAGATAGCTTTTACACATACGCGTATATGAACTATTCCGAAATTCAAAGCACGTTCATACCGAATGCTTGTTTTTTCTGACGCTGGTTGTTCGGGTATGATAGATTGGCTCAAAGACCAGGCTCGCAATTAGCTTAGACCTTAAGGAAGTTATAAAGTATAAGGATTAACTTCATCGACAAATTCATAAGCGCAAGATCGATTTGCATTTACGTAACTAAATTATAACTCAAAACCCTCTGGCTTCAACCTTCAACGCTACCTCCTTGGCGAACAGCCATGTACAGGCATTGAATTGGATATTATTATATTATAGGATAAGATATGAGACTATACTGACTGGGAAGCCAAGCATGTTGCTCTACGTAAAAATTTAGTGTTATAGAAGTTTAGGAGAAGAGCAGCCACTACGAATGAAGACAAACATCTCTTCGTTTGCTAATACGAATGGAAACTGAAGCTTAGCTCAACCTCACCGGCACGGCGAACGATCCATTCTTAGGCAATATAGTCTCCAATATGAAAAACGTTATTAGTATAAACATAATTACATATGAACTGAGCAGGTAAAAATGAACCTGTCTCGCATTGAGCAGGTAAAAATGAACCTGTCTCGCATTGAGAAAGCAGTCGTTTAATCAGATTTACTGTTGTTATTCGTAGCTGCTGGCCGCATAATAAAACAGCGGGTGATTTTTGAGTCGGGCATAAAAGGACACTCAGTGTCCTTACTCAGTAAGTTAACAGCTCGCCGCTGCTCCCATAATATTTTTATCGATTTTTGCAGAACAATCTAGCCGAAAAGTAATGATTGTTTCTGGAAGCCACACGTACCGTTAAAGTAGAACCGTTTTAAAAACTAAAGATAACTGATAGTGCATCTAGCAAGATATTAATTACTTATTAGGTTCAGTGATGTCTGAAGCCATCACCTAGGAGAACGGTCGTTTTACTAAATCAGAAAACACTACTTATATATATATATATATATATAACTGCAACAAGAGAGTCGCATTTTTCTTTTGTATTCTGAGATATAGTTATCATCGTTGACGTCTTTTCACACGCCTACCTATGTCTTAGTTGGGATATCTTAGAATTCCAAGAGATGACCAATGCGTCTAATGCAACAGAACTTATTAAGCATATATTACAATCGTTCTATCTTAGTTCATATAAGGTTTCATAGAGTTTTGTCCCAAAAGTAATCCTCAGCTCGTCTTGGTTCGTCTTTTGGAAAATACTTATATCAAATGGAATTGGTGGAATTTAGAATTAAAAAAAAAAAAGTGAAACCCCAACTATGCTTTATGAAGGTAAAGAACGTCAGGTCTTCATTTTCACATGACCAGGTTACAGGTATCTTCGTGCTTCTCTTAGGGCACAAGTTAACTGAGCAAAAGTTCTTGTGCTCGATAGCGCGTAATCATTTCAATGTATTTGAGCCGCGGAAGTTCACGTATTTCGATTGTCTCTTTTGTCACTGTCGTCACAGAAGCCATTGAAGGCAACTAATATCTTAGCCATTCTTCCAGTGACTAGCAAAAGGCCTAAATTTTTGAGATATTAGCAACAAGACAGGGTTCCCATAATATAGACGAAACCTGTCTTCAACGCAATTCAATTTAGGTTTTTTCTGATACTATGATTCCGCCAACTAAATTACGACAGAAGTTATATTATAGATTAATAGATAGTAGTAGCTCCCATCTTCTAAGAAACGCGGAAACAAGGCGGTACATCTGTTTAAAAGATAGGCTTGTAAATAGAAAATTCGCTTTGCCATGTCTCACATATTTGAGGTTCATTATTTTTAGAGCATAATGTGCGCTTTTAGCGAAAATAATTTAAATTTGTTGCGAATCGAGTTAAGCTTAGGTACATATGTCAACATTTTCGCGGCACTAACCAATAAAAAATGTTTCCATATAAATATATAAACTGACATATCAATTAGCGTAGAGGTAAAAAGATGTTATTTAGACGTTTTGTTTTTGTGTATACTGGGCAATTTAACTGTCTTCTTTCAATTACCGCATTAAGTTAGAGATTTACTTGGTTGAACTTATCGGAACGGCCTTTTGTCTGTTGTAGGAGTATCCCTAGTAGAACTTAGTTCTCTGCCCCTGCAACGCGCTGTCGTTTGAATCTGGCCGCACTTTTGCCCTGTGCCGGAAGTTAACCCGAACCCAGCGCCGTCAGTTGCGCTGCCCAGTTTCCGGCACAGAGGCTGACCGGCTATCATTACTATCGTCCCCTAGCAGTTGCGAGAAGATCGCTGCTCTAGATGTATTCAGCCGAGGTGTATTCCACGTTAATAATCTGTAGATCCGTCAAACAAGAACGTAATGTATTAGATTTTAGTCAGTGGTCCCGAGTACCCTCCCGTCGTTCGACAAGTGCCTCAAAACTATGATCAGCTTTTCCTAATACATTTATAAGGATGCACGTTGAAGGCGCACTATCAGGCTCGTGAAATAAAATCTCTCCACAGCAAACGCTAGTTAATTGGAAATTTTGGTATTTTTGTTCTATTAAAAAATTACTGCGTACGATAGTACGATATATTATTTGTCCTTCGGAATGAGTCCTTTTTGAGTACACACACATCCGAGGTAAGTGATGTCGTCTCGTCTTCTCGCAACACTCCAGGTCAAAAGTAAGAATCGATAAATAACTACGCGGTGCATTTGTTATATTTTAAAGTAACTTTACTATGAAACTAAATATATGCCATTTTCATCAATGACTACTTTTCTGATAACATCATAATCCCATCAAGGTAGAACTTCTGTGCTTTTTGAGCGATCAATTGTGACAAGTCATTTTTGCATTTCTTCATGTTAAAAATTATGTAGAGCCGAAACAGAGACGACACTAGGTTCAGACTATACGAAAATGACCGATCTAAGTTTTTTAATTTCAGTCGACTTTTTTCAATGCTTTATTGTAATTTTGTTAGTTATTGGTGCTAGAAGTTCGAATCAATCGTTTCGCTGAGCCGCAGCAACTCATAATACACGATTTCTTTTCGGTTCCACCGGACATATAGCATTATCTTCGTTGAAATTAGTCTGGCTTTTGCTACAGATTGGGAAAGACATTTTTCTTATTGCACATTATTGCCCTATGCGACCCACTTTTTATCAGCCGTAATCAACGGCTTGAGAGCATATAGCTCGATCTCCTTGCCTTTTCGCGGAATTTTGCCGATGAAAATGATTTTTGTTGTGTAAATTCGTGTGACACCCCAAACGGTCGACTACTACGAGGAGCACCTTCCCGAATTTCCCGAACGAAAGTTACGGAACCATTTTTGGGCCTTTTTCTTCCTGTCGATAATACGTCGTCACTACGAAGAGTACAGTTAAAAAAAAGCTATTTATTTCCGTTAAGATGTTTTATATTATGTTTGAACAAAGCATTGTCCATCCGTTACTGTTAGATGTCAGCCTTCAAAGATGACACTAGTCACGGTTTATATTACCCAAGATATGTTGCCTTGAAACAGTTCAGCCAGAGAAAAGTTTTTCGACGAACTAGTATGTAGCTCATGATAGTTGTTAGCAGAAGTGTTTAAGAACTAAATGTCCTTACCTTTAATTGACGACAATATTTACAACTTAGTTTATTGACAAATACCGGATACAAAAAAAAGAATGCATCTGATATTTAAAATCAAGCTTCATTTAAACCATTCCATATGCCAACGGAATTAAATTAGAAAATATGTAGAAGTGCCAATTCGCATAGGATTTATTTATTTCTGTCCTTCGTTCTCTTGTAATTTCAGTCAAAATAACATGCTACACATTGGGTCCAAGCCATTAATGTAAAATTCGACATAGAGACTGGAAACGATGTCTGATAATTCATTAGAAAAATAACACAAAACATTTTACCGGTAACATAACTTTGTCCAGTAGAGCATTTTAAATCTATAAGGTCTACATAGCCTAATAACTGCTGATATCACTTCACTGTATGTTTATTGCCTAAATAAATCTTTAGGTTGAAATTTGGCATTTGCAAAAAAAACAAGAGCTTAATGATTCTTTATATGAAAAACTGTCTTTATGTCAGTCGATTCGCAAATACAGATTCACTGATTAGGAGTTAATGTGCACGGTGATGTAAAATATTAAGCGTTTTGTGGCCTTTTAGGCCCCGCAAAAACCTATCTGAACGGACTTAAGACTTAATATAGCATTGCTGTTATATAAGTACGCGAGATTTACTTTACATAAAATGGTGTAGTTATTTGTTTATCGGCTATGAAATGCCCATTCCATATACTTAAACGTTGTTGAAGGAGATTAGTATGGAGTTAGAGCGGATTACAAAAAGCTTCATCCCAGCCTTTTAGGCATATTTATACACTGATTTTCAAAATTTGCAACATTAATTTGAATTAGATATTCTGCTCCCAGATTGAAATTTTCATTCATCTCATTAATATCAAGTACCTGACATTGCTACTACGCACCAGGAAATTCACAGCAAACACAAAAGGTACTTTATGCAGTGTTGCAGCACAGGAAGAACAGCGATCTATTTAATGAGCGCCTCCTCCATTAAAAATTTGTCCGATCCAACAAATCATACACGCTTTATGGAGAACTGCGTAAATACTAATTTCGAATTAGAAAAATATCCGAGTCATAGAATTGGAATTATCGCTGCCTTATTACGTGGCCTTGTTTGCAACAGTTAATTAAGTTAGTTGTTAAATCGCATATTAATGAAATCTTTCCTTGATCTGTTATCCTTTTCAAGTGGATACGATCGACCTCGATCTAGGTTGCTTTGTGGAGCCGATGGATGTTGTCTCTGGCTGATGAGATGAACTTTTCTAAATTGTCGCCGAACCCTGATCGATTATTTTCGAACTACTGCTAACATGACTTGGCGTCGTTGTATCTGACTTACATCGAGTTTGTACAAAATAAATAGGATTATCCCCTGCATTACAGAGCAGAACATTACAGGATATTGAGAAAATGGAGCGCGCGCGTCAATACAACAAGTTAGGCACCTACGCTTTATTCGCTCTACAAGGTATTTGAAAGGAAAGTCGCGCGTAAGTTGCTACTAGCTACACACATTAGCCGGTTCCGGCATTTATGTGGGTGTATTTTTTAATCCATTATGAAATTCTGTAAATGTTGGCAGTCACATGGGTCTCAGGAGCTATTTATCTCAGGAGCTGTTTATTGCAAATTACATTAGGCGAAACACAGTATAGAAGGACGGGTTTACTCTGTTTGGTACCGCCAGCATATTCAATCCATGCAAACTATAAGGACTAGGATATCGCACCTTCGTTATATGAGAAAATTATGAAGCCTTAAGCCCACCTTGCGCAAAATACGTAAAAAATCCAACCCAGCTAAGCGACATATTTTTCGCCAGCTTCGTCTGGATCCTCCAAAGTACGTTAACCCTTTATCGAGTGATAGACTTTCGCTCTTTCGTTTTAAACGACGTGACGCCCAAGGCAAGGGTCTTGAACTTTCGAACGCGCTTCAAAACGACTGGTGGTCCCACTGGCTGAGCCGTTGTTGGCACTCAGCAGACTATGAAACAAGAAGTGAGGTGGTTTTAGGATCGGGTTTGTGTGTGGAGCGAACGGTTAAAAACGAGAAATTGATGAGACGCGGCCGTAACGCTGGAACAGAGACAGATTGTTTAAAATGGCGAAGAAACAGCTATTTGGAAAGGTAACATAATTACTAGTTCTGTGATAATAGTCCGCCGTCCGTTTTCATTCTGGAACAAAAGAGAGCCATACTACATGCTGTATATTATATCCTGAGCGTATAATAATGTTTTTTTTTTTTCCTATTAATTTTCGGCACTTTACAAACGCAGTCAAGATGGAGGATCTGCCTTACTAACCGCCGATGGCAAAGTGTCCAGAGCTGTTATAATTTTCAATTTTTTCTATTTTGCAACCTATGTCATACTGCAAGTTGTTTTGCTATTGAAATCGAGTCCGTCTGTATGGCAATGAATGAGAACGACGAGGTTTACCACACATAGTAGAGTGTACCTTATTTGTTTCGGAGAGAACTGAAAATTGCTTCTGCAATCATACAAGTTCCTTTTTTTGTGGCGAGGTAATGCACTTCATTTTTCGGTGATTAAAGGAAATTTTCGCCGCGTCAAGTCGTCGCGAACGGATATGCACGTCTCGACCGCTTCAATATGTTAATGAAAGCTTAATAATCTAGTTACATCATCGTAATAGGTTATGTTTAGTAATCGTAAGATAACGATGGCGCGATCATCTCGTATCGATTTGCTGATATTAGATTTATTTTCGTTTAGATAGTGTATGTAGCTTAAATATTGTTCGCTTACTTGTTTGTACTAACTGTCGATGTTCTTGTTGTGACCCAATAGAAGTTTTTTTTTCAATAAAGCTACTTTAAACTACGTCTCTAATAGGTCCTCTTACGAAGATAAATTAAACAAGAAATGTCTCATGTCTTCATCTCTAAAACCTGTACATCTCACGCTAAAATCTGCTCTGGGAGTTTTTTTTTCGGCTATTGCTTTCTTTGTGTATTAAATAGGCCACAATGATAACTATGAGATTTTACTATGGGGATCATCCAAACGACGACTTAGTTCGTTTCAGTTTGCCGCCGAAACCTGCGAAAAGCAGGCTTACATACCAGACCGTCAGCCATCGACATGATGTACTCTATATGTCATGTTCCTTTCATCGGTTACCCGGCATCAGTGAGATATGCCGACGATGCCTATACATCTTATGGAAGAAGAGACGTGCAGGACATGCTGTTTGTTGTAACGGTTGCACCCGTTGTCATTTCCCGCGTTTTGTTGTTACGGCCACAGCCATTTCATGCACGACAGTCCGTAGAATTTGCACGCAGTCACGGTCGCTGCCATCGCCGTATTAAGTGAAGTGCGAGGGGAAAGAACTGTTTATACGAAAAATCTTTTTGGTCCTCAGCGCGAAGTGAACTGCCACCAATATTATACTGACGCAGTTTATAAAGAACGCTACCGACCAAATGGTCTTATTCGGCTAAGTGTTTTGCTATTACTGATAATCTGCTGATACTACGTGGCTTGCGTAAGCAATTTTGATAAGATTATGCTTTACGCAAGATAGTATTTTAGTCTAAGTTGTCAGCTTTTCTGAACTTCTGCTCTGAAATGCAGCAGGGAATTGGACGCTACGCTTAAACGCAGGTTGTAGCACTTACCGAAAGAATCTTATCTGTTCAAGTGAAACTCATGTCCCACTGGTATTGCGGGCGAGGTGTCAAAGACCTGTTTTCAAAACTAGTATTGCAAAAATATACATACCTAAGACCGAAAGATTATTTCCCTACATCAAACATGTTCCCATATCATCTACATCAAAAACATAGTATATTTTATAAGAGTTCCGTGTGCTACGCGTGTGCCACTATCGAAGCAAATTGCTGGACATTTACCGTACAGGAGACTGTCACCGGTGGGAAAAGTTTCGTGTAACGGAGCACACGTTGTCGTACTTTCCGATTACTGATTTCGTAACAAGCGAACGGTTTTAAGAAAAATAGATCCAATTATCGATTGAAACTAATTCACAGTTGTGACATGTGTCGAAACGGGAGAGGTTCTCAGAGTACCTTAAGTCGATCGATATGGCAACACTTACTTCAATAAAGAGTTACGCAGTATTCGAGCTATTCTTAAAGAGAAAAAATTAAGTCGTTGTTGAATAACAAGTTCTGATTAGGGAGCGATGCGTTAATAGAGGCAGAACGCCTAGATCCAACGAGTACACTGCCATCATGAATTTGAGAGCGTAAGGCTCTAAATGCCCAGAAAAGGTGTTACTTCACCTTGCGCATGCATGCATGCATACATACACTTCATATGATGAAGTGTAACAACAAATGCTATTAGGACATATTCAAAATGCAAATAAATAACAGCGTAGAGGAAAAATGTGCCTAATACTAAGTGAAATGCTTAGCACCCTCCCAATAATGGAAAACGTTGATTGCCACTACGCAGTCGTGTGTTCCGATCAAGATAGAATGTTAAGTAGCAAGGCATAAAATACGATAAAATGTCTTTACCGAAAAAGATGGCTGCTGATTATAACTCTCACTAGAGCAAGATATCTAGCGCAGGTTTCGCATAGTAAATCGAACGCTTCTGTTGAAACTCAGGAGGAGAAGGGATGTGACAGAGAAATGGCTACATTGTAGAACTCAGATGGCCAAAGGGAGTAAAATATTTATCGAGGTCAGCTGGAGAGGATCTGGTCGGTAGTTGAATTAAGCACACGGCACCAGAAGGCGACTGAAAACTTTCTCTAACTTTATAACCGAAGCAGGTTGTTAAATGCATTGCCGGATTAACTAGTGTTACGGCTGGATTTTAGGCAGGCGAACGGTACCACAACGAGAGCGAAATGCGTAGGAAGTGTTCAACATCAAGTATCTGCAAAGTCGATAGACAGTATACGCTCTGTGTTCTTGTTACGGTTATCGAAAAACATCTAATCATATAACCCATAATGATCGAATGTATGTTATTTTTCTGTGTATAGTAATTACGAATTCTCCAGAAAATGCAGTGAGAGTTTGGTTGGTAAAATTTTGACGAATTTGGTATAAATACGATGTGGAAGTTTGGGTATGTTCCATAGCATCAATTTAAAGCTCCGCTACTCTGAATCCAGTATAGGATATGAAAACATATATAAAAACAATATGGATGAAGATATAATTGCACAAATACGGCCGTATACGACTATTCTACACAGAAAACATTTAGTAGTAGTAAACAGATCCACGCGCGTATACAGTAATAAGACGGAGCGCTTTTTAGAATATGGAAACATAAACTCAAGTTAAACACTGCTCACTATTAGATAGACGTATATACAAACTTTAATATCGCAACTTCCAGTAGTAAGTGTGCTATAGATACTCCATAGATAGACTACACTTTTGCGATATTTCCATTTCAAAAATATCACATGTTGCGAACTTTGTTAGTTTTCTAATTAGCGAATCTTCTGTGTCAATTACCTAGATGAGATAGCATGACATCTGCGTAACATGCGCGTCACGTGAACCAGTGGGGTACAACTAGGTTGTATCTGAATATGAAGTTTTCCAAAAGGTACGTTCGGAAGAACCCCTTGTACTATGATTAAGTTGTTGATCATATACTTGAATCTGCACAGAGGTAGAGTGAAACAACGGTCCTTTCCAGGACCATTTTGCTGAAGAAAGAGGTGAAAATAAAAGAGGAGCGCCAGTAGGTGTAAAACTTAAGAGAACAGTAAAGAGCTATAGCGACTTTCCTCTTCCTTCCTCTAGAAAATCTGACGTAACATTTCAACCTAGTTTTAAGCCTCAAGAAAGAACAAATAGCGGTTTAGTATCGGTATTATGGTGCTTTCTACAGCCCTATTCATCCGTCTATAGAGAGATGTGTGGGAATCACATTAGCTTCATTGAATGGAATATAAAGGGAAATTATTTCGAATGACCCGGGGCGTGCATCGTTGGGTTAGCCTGTACATCTAATAAAGAAAGTTCCATCTACCAGATCCATATGGCTTTCATGTGATCATCACTGCACACTATTTCTTTCCGCAGTTATTTTATTCGGGCACATAAACCGTGTATCTACTTTCATTGTGACAATACCTTTGGTATCTTATCCTTGATATGAAAGTTGTACTGATGTTTAAACAGCTAAAATGAAACAAGCACTCATGACAAGTGTTGCATTTTACTTTTTGTGAACGTACCGGGTACGGCACCCAAAATTAAGACGAACTTTGACAGACTGTATGTGCTAGAAGAACAGCGGTTCTCTCTAGAATGCAGCGACAAATTTATCATAGTAGAAAAAATCCTTTCCTTTCGCATTTTTAACGAAAATGGGCTATCGTCCAATCTCTTGGCATTTAACAAATCCCCAGCCAATACGAAATAATATTTTTTTTTGCCCAAAATCGACAGTTTACGTTATTGCTAGTTTCTATCCAGTTTATGAAAAATAAGAGCAAGATTTTCATGCAGAGCCATTTATAGTACATTCGCCCTCTTGATACGATAGTTATGGGCCATTTTGGAAAGAAAAATATCAGTTATCAATTGCATAGTCCAGACGAGTTCTAATAGCAAGCAAAAAGGAAGTTATTTGGAAGTTATTAACGAGTCATTCAGGTTTTAACTCGAAGATGTAATCATGACAAAGGATAATTGTGTTGAATAAATACGATCGTTCGGAATGGCACGGATAGTGCAGGTATGAACATTCGGTAACAGGTTAGTTTCTCTTTATACAGAGTCTTAAAAACAAAGCGTGAGAAAACGTTTCAACTTAGCTGCCGTCTATTGTATAAGTAAAACAGCTAACAGCATTACACACAGGCAAAGCAATATGGCAGGATTAGAGAATATCGCCCGAAGCTCCATAATTATACATCTCTAGACGACCTCACCATAATTTAGGCAGGATCAGAAGGATTCTGAAGGTTTACCTTGAATACGAGTTTTATGAAGGATACTGTTTCCGTGAATCACTTTCACCTTCCTATGTTTGCCGGCTAAACACATTAGATCCCTTGGCGATATTCCATTCCATGAAAATAGAAACTGGTGACCGTTTTGTTGAGTTGTCACACTTCCGTCTGATTTCAAATTCAAGCTAATCCGAATAAACGAGAAAACCGTTCACGCGCAACAGGTTGCCGGCCCATATGGTTTACCGTAAATCTACATGGAATAACGGTAATTGTACACCAATGATAAATCCCAAAGCGAAATTCATTGTTAATGAAAAAACACTTCTCACGAAAGCCCTTGCTAGTTAATTTCGGTTAATTAGTTTTGAATTAGATAATTATTTACAGTATTTTGAGCTTCAGAAATAGATAGGTTTGATGCATACTTCAGCTTTCATATAATGCACTATCTTCACTCTTCCAAAAATACTGCTGTCTCTAGAAAATTCTACAACTGTACACATCATTCGACGGTGCTTTAATATTAAATTAACCTAATTCGCAAATAGTATTTTCATAGATTATTCGTATTATTTATTTAAATCGATACGGAAAATATATTCCTGTTTTTATTCTATATAAAAGGAATAGCAGCGAAGTTAAGATGGTATGTGTTTTTCTTGACTTCGGTTTTCCCTCAAACAGATGTAAAGGAGCCCCCTGTTTGGAGGTTTTACGCTTCATATTACCTTAACGTAGAAGTGCCAAAGTGTCGGCATCAAGTTTCTGGAGGTTGGCGACGACGCAAACATATCAAAAACGTAGCTTGGATAGCCAGTTTGGTGTCTTTTTCGTCCACACGAGAAGCTCTGCTTCAGCGGTTTTAGCGGGCAAAAAGCGCTTATCGCTACTCGGGAGGGGGGGGGGGCCTCTGTACAGCGCCTCCTCACATGGGGCAATGACAAGGATTGATGACGCCTCGTCTGTAATCAGATGCCACATGCAGGCATAACACTCTCCTCTAGAAACTTTTCAAGAAACGTTTTGTCGTCTATACTTAAATTACATGGCGAAGCTTTTGCGGCGCTCGCTAAACAGAAGATAATGGGAAATAGAAAGCGACGGTTTGTGTTAGAGATTAAATGTGCTTCATGTTTTTGAAATTGTTTTTACTCATTGTTGTGTTTTCTCCGCAGAGTTTTTGTACGTGTGGTGAAAAGTTTTCTTACTGGTGAATTTGCTATGACTTCCTACCAGCGATGGTGCTTAGCATGAACTAAGGCGGCATCATTAGAGAGACGCTGAGACGCTGGTCAGAGTTGTATGGCAAAATATGTAGATGCGGAGATTGAAGCGCAGTCGTCTCTTAAGCTTTACATACATGATGAAGTACATTCACAGTTTAAAACTCTAGGATCCGATTAATATTTAAGTAAACTTATTGTGCCCAAACAGGACTGACTACCGCTACTTCAAGTATTCTACGCCAAAAATTGGGATTTATGTCAAAATCTCTTTGTATATTACTGCGATTGTTCTGTGAGTCAGAAAAGCACGTCTGTGCTATGAACCATCGATGGGGTTTTAGATGGGATAAATCAATAGAATCGTTAGACGATTTGTAATTGTGTCTTCTATACTTGTAGAATCATAATCCTTTAATATCTCAATGTTTGCCATACACAAGTACTAGGAATGTATCATAAGATGAAATATGGTATTACCATTAAAGTCGTTATAGGTACCTGCTTGCTCAGATAGTGCTACCACTCCGACATGGATCGCCTCTGCGTGCGTTGCCGGGTCCTCTCGGTGATTCCTATTTTGTGGATATACGATGTCGGCTAGTTGAAAAGATCGGAAATAGTTAGAGCCATGGCTACAGAGTTGTCTCAACGCTTTAAATCTGTCTTGATTGACCAACGTCAGCGGAGCGCGCTTAGGTCCATTAAGTAAGGGGAAGATGGGCGACATTTCTGAAGAAACATATCGATATTTTTTTTTTGCTTTTTCGGCTGTGTCTGATACGTCTGCTATATGCGCTGAGGTACTTAACCGGTATAATGGTGATTTTTTGCGTGCTAAATATTCTCTCAATAAGACCTTGCCAATAAAATGTTGGGTGGACAGACCTTATTTTGGTGCATTCATTATAACATTTTACGCTGATCATATTAAAAGTATGGTTTGATCAACGAATCGACAGATCGCCTTTGATAGACATTATCGCCAGGCGTATTACTGATACACAGATACAGTAAATATAGCGTAGAGGCCGCCCTTGTAGCCGATATATGAGCTAATCCTTTATTTAACCGAAGTTTACTGACTGGTCGTAACGAACAAACGCGGTACCATCCGGACATTTCGGAGGTACGCTTGTACTGTTGAAAAAATCCTAGTTGAAACTGTGTGATCATCGATACTTGATTAGAGCTGTCCCGTGAACTTGAACGTGTGGACTGAAGTACCGAATAATAGAATAGTAATTTTGCTTATCGGTTTTCCACAGATGAGCTACTTCTGCAGATGCAAGGTTCTGCTTCGTATGTTACTGTTACGCTTTCTCGACTATTACTGGAATAATTTCATCAAAAGACGTTAGAAAGTATTGAACGGTACAGATAGACTTCGACGTTTGAGTTTCAGCAAGCTTTTTGTGTTTCTGTAATGCATAGTTGCCATCGAGAATACGAATATCTCCGGCCTCTCATTTGATAAGCGTAGTTATCATTGATAAGCAAACCAAGAACAAATTAAGACTGCCATGCCCATTATTGTATCACTTTTGTATTTGACCAGCGGTTCATTTGGAATTTAGATTGCTCAATATGTAGCCTATTTTCTCACTCTGTTGTTTCAGAGAGGCTGTCGATACAAAGCCTGATCAGACAAATTGTGACTCGGTGATTGATCGCGTGTGGCAACTTCCAGAGATGCCACAGGTTATCCGTTCTTTTTTTTCCGTTCTTTTTTCCGAGTACCTAGTATTTTCCAGGTTGCAACAAAATGAATACACTAAAGCCATCGAACAGCCGACCTACTATTTTTGTGCGTATAAAAGTGTCTGACTTAATGATAAATTTACTCAGCAAGCACCAAAAGGCTGACAATCTCTATCAGTGCGCAAATATTTCCAGTGTCTGTTCTATATCTGAAACAGCTTACAGGGAAATTAGGTTTGTCGTATTTCGTTTTACTTGAGGTAATCTTGACCTACATCGCGATCGCTCTATAAGGTCCTTTAACGTCTGTATGTGTGATAGAAATAACTCGTAGGATGGCAATGACTTCATTTAAATCCTGTGGGACTTAATCGTAATAGATGTTATCTTAATCATCTAGATCTCGCGTAGGCTGGAATTTCAATGAGCGATTTTGCTTCCTTTAAACGGAGATCAACTTTGGAGTATTACGAGAAAGCAGTCTCTAGAGTCACACAAGCGACAAGTAACAGCGTGATTCACAGGACTAACTCACTAATATAGAAAGAATAACCGAAACTTATTGAATCCAATTCCGATACTTTTGCTCAGTTCTTCAAAAAATTTTATAATTACGCTTGAATTATAGTTCCTGTGGAATATTTGTAATAAATTAAAGTTAGAATGATTTATACGGGAGCCCGCCTCGTCACGGTGCACTTGAGATCTGTTTCAGGTATGGCTCGATGTACTGCGTATTAAGTCCAACCTCAAACATTGCAACATTTATAACTGCACAGAGTCGTAACGTGCATTCTCCGTTTGCGTTAACGTGCAGTGGTCCGTTCATTTGTCAGACATTTTACTACATTAGGAACAACTGAGCCACTTGACAAGGTGCAAAAAGACCTTTTCTAGCACCTATGCCTTTTTTAGAGCGCTTTACCGAAAAGCTTGTTAGACCTACAATTCCGAAGCAAGCCGATTAATGTTTGTGTATATAGCAATCATAATAGCTTATGAACTATTTCATTAACTTATGAACGAACGATTTCTATGTTGTTTTGCATTGCCGAAATTAATTTCTTCTAAACATTGTAAAAAGACAAGATTTTCCAACGTAAATTAAGTACGAGAGACAAGCAATGATTTTTAATTTATCTTATTTCACAGCATAAAGTCATTGTTGACTATGACGGCGTCGTAGTTCGTCGATGGTGCAAATGCGTTCATTCGTTTTAGTCTAGGTCACTATGAACCGATTGGCTGGCGCGTGTGACTCCAAGGGTGGACCTGACAAGCGCTTAATCATGTTAATGTACTATTTTACCGTTACCATTCAGCTTTGAATTTGGTCTTGGCTTACCTTCCGTTGGATTTCTATTGACTGATCTTTTGCTGCGACACCGATCGATTGTAATTCAAGCTGAAGACAGTACACGATTCCATGCTGAATTAAAGAAAAAAAAAAACTGCTAACCAACATCGTTTGGCTAGTGAGAATAATAATAATTTTACAATGAGATGCGCTTAGGTTAACTTCATAGCCTATATAATACATAATATTATTTGACATTGTACACAGTGAGGCGAAAGTTATATAATTTAAGGAAATAGTTTAGGTTCATTAATATTTCTCACTCAGCATAGTATCTTTTAGAGACCTTGAGCGTCTAGGAATAGGGTGCTATTGTAGTTATAATAGCTAGTATCTTGGCATACAGTGATGTAATGGCCTAATTCTTTTCTAAACGTGAGGATCGAGCTAACTAAAGCGGCTACAGTAAGACTACGATCGCCATTCACAAGAATTTATATCATACCAAGCTAACGACTACTGCTTTTGCGAACCCTCGGGCTCCCTGAAGGACTTGTCATTTGCCGGTTTAATTAATGTAGTTTCAGGTTCGTCCTGTGTTATTCCTCGTACGGTGGGTCGTAAGAACACGAGAAAGTAAATAGATCTATCACGAGCACTGCCGAGATCAAAAAAGGCCCCCTGCTTTTTAATAATTCACGTAGCTAAGCGCGGATGAACCGACTGATTAAAAGAGTGGCCGAACGCGCAGCTGCAAAACCGGCGCGAATGTATCAAATACAGCAAAAGTCATCATACTGCTTGGAACTCATTCGTGCTGTTAAGACGTCGAGCCCCGTTTCTGCCCCAAGGCCCTGGAGAGTCCTTCTACATCGGCAATTGCTAGATACATTTCTGAAAGACGACCCTGGTAACGGTGTGCCAAATTTCAGGATGATAAATGCATCAATCGCACAGAAGTGTACAGCTGTAGTTCAATAACCCACGATAGGCATATTTGAGCATGTTTATTAGAGTGTAGGCAACTGCTTAGGCCGAACGATTAGGCCAGGTCTCAAAACCACATTCAGTTAACTTATAGCAGTGGACCATGCTTCTGCGTTTATCTTGCCGGAGGGCTATTTTTTGTTTTTATAGTTCTACAAAGATTATTTAGAGTATCTCGTGCACTCGAATAGAGTATCGTGTGCAATCAAACAAATGATATAACTGATTTTTCTATGAGTTCAGCGTTGCTTTCCCCTGCACGGTATTCACTGGCTATTCACATTATAAAACGTAATTTTATAAATGCATTAAAAGATATCCGTCTAGTCGTCTGAAAAATAATGCTTTCTCGGCATTCTCTGAATGCTGAAACAAAGGCTTAAAAATTTATAGAGCTGGCCGTATTTAGCAGACAGCTCCATATATTACTTAAGAAAAACATGTACCTTTCGCATAAATTCGAAACATGACGGTTCAATATGATCATTGGGTTCTTCAAGCGTATTCTAAAATGCAACAAGTGGTATGCCCTCAATTAGATCGGCTATGGGGTAGATTGCTAGATACCACGAGGCCGTAGCAAATTCTTCTACTAGTAAATTTACATCTTCCGCTAGCCTTAAACAGGTTATATGTCGTATTCGATTTTACAAGCCCGAATCAGTATATTACCATTTCACTGATTTGATAAAACCTTCCGCTCTGTAAAGGCGTTTAACCCGCAGCCGTTACTAAGCTCCTTAGGTCACTGTCGAGCGTCACTGAGCAAATAGAGGATGCAGGCTAGTCGAGGATTTTTTTTTAGCATAATATTTAGTACCTGCAATATAGGTTAAATGAATCATCTAATGGGAACAAATCTTTTCTTGTTTTTGTACTTAATAATTAAACGATGTTGTTAAAATATGTAGCATACGTCATCGCGCACACGCCAGATCATTCGCTTAGTGTTTCGTAAAAATTTGGACGAAAATAATAATGCAGACTCAATACTGCATCCCTTTTCGATTAGTGTCGTCAGGCAAATCGTATTTTAAGCTTCGTATGTCCTTACCACCTATTACTAACGAACAGGGAAGGACGGGCTGTACGGGAGGGCCTGTAATCTCGTGCGAAAGCAGCACTCGAGTGATAGCGGGAACGTAACTGTGCATTGGTCCCGTCGAGTTCAAGTGTGCCTGTGAAATCAGCCAAGAAATTAGAGACAGGTCACTTGTTCACCCAAAAGATAAAACAAGCTTCGGAAAGTTGTAAACAAAATTGAATTGATTTTTAATCGACGAAGTTCACACAGAGAAAAACTTCATTTTATAGGAATGGCATCCAACTAGGTTCCCTGATTATAACGTTTTTTTGTGGAATGTCTACATAATGATGATGAAAATAATAACTTGGAAGGTAAACGATATGTTAATCCTTCACTTTTAATTAAGCTCAAGCAAACCTTAAAACTATATAGGGCGCTACTCGGTGAGTCGAATCATACCATAAAATGAAAAAAAACATGGTTTTGATTTGCAACCCCTAATACGTTATAATCCGCCTTCAAAAGATAATTTAAGAGTGATGAATTTACCTCCAATATAAGTCAGCGTCTCCTCCAATCTAGGAATTATATTTTTGTCAACGCACTGTTGCATTATGTTTTCTGGGTGGAACATACCGGTATGAATTAGCTAAAAAAGCTAAGTCAGGATATTTATGTTCTTTATCCCAGACCAACTTATAGGGTATCACCGACAAGAAGTCATAAAATTATATATACATATATATGTATATATATGTAACAGATTAAGTTGCGCGGCATTGAAGTTGTCTGCAGACTGAGACCTGAATCTAGTTATTGTTAATGCCCATAAACGTAAGTTTAAATTAATCGCTTTACAAAGGTCATTCGAGGTAGTAAATACGACCTCTACTTGGTACTGAGCAAACCTGAAACAGATCTTCCTTGAAACCAATCGGCGTATCATGCAATTACAGAAGAAATGGAATATTTATGATGGCGTCAACGCCAAGGCGTTTTCTTAATTTTTTTTTAGGCCTTAGCTATCTTCTCCATGTGGACAAGTTTTCGAACTTACTCATTTTTATGTATAGCATCAGGGATTAAAGGTCTAACCAAGGAAAGTCTTACTGGACTTACCTAAGGTTGCTCAAATAGGCCTACGGAACGACATAGCAACCATACAAGCAACTTAACAATCTTAATAATAGATTGTTATTATCCTGATTAATAATTTCTCACAGTCATTCTTCCCAACACTTCCGATATACTTTAGTTATGGTTATCAAGGCCAAGACTTAAAGAGCTACACATTAGTCACCTAAACTTCGCCGATACGTGTAATCACGTTGGGTGAAGCCACCTAAACTTATTCATATACCATCCTTTCGAAGTGTAATTTATTTTCGAAGGAAAATAAATTCCACTTTGATACTTCGTCTGGCAAATTTGTATTTATTCCTAACATACACCTTCAATCTTACCCTAAATAATGCAGAATGCTATTCAGTTCTATGTAGCTCTAATACATGTTTCACAAGAATGGTCATCTAAAAGTGAATGCATAAAAAAATACGAAAAAAACGACAACGTAATTTATTAAAGGCGAACAGGCATTTGCTATGAAGATCCAACTGTATTATAAAATGTCAGAAACAGGGCTTTTGATTTAATGTCAGACCGTCGTTTATTTAGTCTTTGATCACTTTCCGTAAAACCACAATCAATGCGATTCCTTTGTACTGCATTTGAAAAATATGATGATGACGTTGACATTAAATCAAAGGCTGATAAAGTACACGACAGGTTAAGGAAAGCTAGGCCTTTTTTCAAAATAGGTCCTTCTAAGCCTGCTTACGAAGTTGGAATTGAAATCTCTAAAGTGCACATGAAAATCGGGTAGTGAGGAACATCTGCAATCACTAAAAATGCTCGTCTCCCGACCCCTGACGTGAGGGGATGGAGCCCTGGAGACTTATGTGCCCTATGAAAAGGCACTCTTTACAAACCTCCTGAAAGGAACAATTCGACCTTAACATCAAGCGTGAAGTTATTGGCTGCTCACTCTACGTTCAAAGGATAGTACCAAATATCCATCGCATCGACGGAGTTTGTCTAATAACAGAAATTTTGCCTACTTGCATGACATGTTGAAAGGTGTGTGAAACAGCCTAGAACCTTGGTCAAATATCTTGTGTTAATAGTCTTCCAGTTTAAATATTTTCAGTAACTAAGTTGACGAGAAGCTTGACGACGACCGCTGCGAGAAGTGTTCTTCCTACCAAAATTGTTGTCTCGTTCGACATGTACTATTTTGTATTTCACACGGAGCCTTTGCCGACGATATAATCGATTCGATAGAAATCCTCCCTGAAATGACCTCATGTCTGTGACTTGAACGCGTTCTATATGTTCACCAATCAGTTTGACATATCTTGAGTATGAAAACAACTTATGCAGCGCATAGCGACGTTTACTGTCCAAGAACTCATTCAAGATTCGGTTGGGGGCGGAGGGTGGCCAGCTGCCGCCGTACGCCTCTCGAGCAAGCGCACTACCCCCAGCCCATTACAAATATGCGTAGTTTCAGAATCGCTGCTACTTGTGAACCTAACGGTGTGTCCTTTTTTGATTGGCTTTTCGATGTTATCGCTACAGAAATGTTACGCAGAGGAGCAGATTTCGCACCCGATCGCGGTCCGTGGATAGGACAGCGGTCGTTATAATATTCGGTGAGGATCGGTAGCACAAAGCGCCACGACTTGGAACATGTGAATTATCGCCTGTGCCAATAGACCTGCCTGCCATCCGCATGACGAATTACTTAGTCAGATCCTGAGCCTTGCACAGAGCGGAAATCCTAGTTAGCGTTCTACAAGATGCGGCTCTATTTAAAGTACTGATTAGCGAAAGACAGTTGTAAGTATTTATACATTCAGCTAGCTCATAATATCTGCAAACAATGACCGTTGCTGTTCGCTGTAGTTCGGCTTAGATCGCAATGATCAATAACGATAGAAATTTTAATTTTTTTTTCCTTTCCCGCAATAGGAACTGCAACGGAAGGCAAAATTCGCTATGTATGTGACTCCAATGTTCCCCTTCATCGACTTTATTGCAAGTATGCCTAATGTTTCAGCCGATTTTGACCTAAATCACACTCAGGTGGCAAACCTAAGAAATAACGATATCACCTTTTAGTTATTATATTATGAGGGACAAAACACATATTCTAGTTGTGTTTATTATTTTACTGTCTAATGTTTATGCTTACTGTTCCTAGCAACGCATTGAGTATGAACATGAAATCAGAAACTAATTGAATAGGCCTCAATTCGCTAACGAAGGCTCCGCCTACAGACAGAGTTGAGAGTCTAAACGAAGTGAGTTGCGAGCCTACTTGCGATCTGCCCATATTTCTCACACCATACCCTCCAAAAGCATGATGTCAAGTGTTCAGTGCTACCCGGATATTCAAGGATCTAAGCCAAACGACTGTTATTTATGCCAATCTTCCCACAAGGCAATACGCCAATGTCATATTGCTGGATACGAGATCAGGAAGATTCGCGAGAGTACTCTTTCCTTTTGTGATACATTCGGAACTTCGCGGCTTTTAATAATACACCGAAACATAGGTGCACACTAAAACAGTAGTTCCAGGTTGAAGCAAATCTAATTTGATATCTGTGTAGCTCGGTATGGGGAATGCCCTTGGCAATATATCGCTTCCAAATGTGCGTTAAAATTTCTCAGTACGCCGGCTTCGGAACCAATGTCTGCAGACGGCTGAAGTCGTATTTGCTTCACAGATATAAAAATTAGACTCGATTCAAAAAAGAGAAAACTAGAGATGTTCCATAGATTTGCAAAAAGAGGTAAGTGTAACTGAAACTGTGGTTAATACAACGGATTCAACAAATTATTCTTGGACTCGCTTCTAGTGAACGACCGTACGGGGTAAAATATTATTTCGAAGTCATGGATTAAACTTGGATACCACGGTTACTCTAGACAAACAGATGCCTCGGACTACAGTACAAGAAGGCTAATTAATCTACAATATCAAATTCTATTCTTACTGAAGCTCGCGTCACGTACAAATACTTACCACGAACAGCATAAGATTGTTGTCCGAAAACCCCTTCAGCGTTGCGAGATCTTGCGGTGCGACAAATCTCTATAGGTCACACGGTATACTAACACTCCATACTTAAGATGTTGATTGAGCGCCCCCCTGGGTTTAGCGGGATATTTTTATAGACTCAACTAGCAGCCACCGTCGAATTAATTTCAAACTACGAACTGCTAACGCATCGTTCCCCGCACACTATTAATAGGTTTTAGTTAGCATCGTTTTTCCATCTGTTCCGAAATTTGCCTCACGAACTAACCTATAGCCACGTTGTAAGGCAAAATCATTGTTGAACTCCGAAAATAAATTTCTATTTTTTGTAGCATGATGGGTCTTGACGTATCATGCGTAGAACCTATCGATCGAAGTTACGAAGCGTGTGTAATAACAGTAGTACTGTGTAAAATGTTTTTGTTTTATTTAAACGCGTTTTTAATTAGGTTAGTTCGGATTGTCGCCATTCCATAGCGTTGCATCGCCCAGGCATAGGAAAAGTTGAATGTTAAAGATAACGTATTTAAAAACATCCAGTTACTAGATGGTACACAATCGTGATGCAAATACACATTATTCTCAAACAATGAGCCCCGTAACAGCCACATAGGGTTATAGTAACATATGATAGTTGACATTTAACACAATGTTCAACTCTCATATATGACATATACATAATGTAAAGGTCCCAATGAAACGTTTACTGATAGGTGAAATCGATTGAGGTTGTTATGGGGTATGCGAGCATCATGTCCTTAAGAGTATAGCACCAAGCATCACATGCATGTTTCATACCTTTTACACTCGTTTCTAATCATTCTCGAAATACCTTTCGTCTACACCCAAACTGTTTCGAAGATGAGGTAAAAATGAATAAGTACACATTACGAATCACGCTGGGTTATTTACATATCGTGGTCGTAGTTTGCCTATGCTGTATCCTTACGAGAAACACAAGCGATTGACAATTCCTTCCTTTATTTTTTGTTGCTTCTACATACTCCCTGTACCTCGCTCGTTAGTGATACATATTCGACAGAACTTGACCTCCACTTTTCCGGTCCTTCCTCGTAATTAATCAATAATCATATATATATATTTTTTTTCTAAAAATACGATTGCTGCTTCTGCTACAATGGCTTTAGTCATCATCGGTCCCGCTACAATGATGGTTGCTCGGATGATTTCCAGTCGTGACTGCCTTACTTTCAACACCAGCAGCCGTAAGATTCCTGACTCGGCAGTTCTTTTCTCGTCAAACCCGTGGGTTTCGCAACCGCAAAACGACCGACGCAAAATCCCGACCCTAATCACCCTGCTCCAAATTAACTTTGCTTGCTGACGACATGTTTATGGTCTGTTCGTTCTTTCACTAGCAACTAGTTGACATTTTTGTCTGTTAGCTATGAACAGGTGGTTAAAAAAACGGAAAGCAGGTAGTAGTGCATGGACCTGAGCCTGCCATCCGGCCACAGTATTAGCGATATCTGCTCAGCCGTCAGCTACAAAGTGCGTTGCGTCACAACGTGATGAAGGGATACGAAATGGGTGAGCAAAGGCCGCTTATTATTCCGTTTATATTAATGAGCTCATACGTTCTCCCCCGACCGTCGGCTCCGATCAGAGCCAAACCGACTCAGTTTCCTGATCTATTCAATCTTATGTCACATTGTAACACATCGCCGGAAGTAGGTAAAGGAACGTTCGATCGACATAACGGTTGTCTATAGATTCATGCTTAGATCTGCACAGCAATCCGTGCGTAACTGAAATTATATCGGAATTACGAAGCCATGTATACGGTACCATACTTGAATAGGATATGCGATGAGGGCTTTTTAGCTTACCACTTGAGTGGTCAGACGCTTAATGTAACAATGCTTTATTTTTTCGTGGGTTATTTCAGCTAGCTAATGTGCGAACAAGTCTCAAAATCTAAAGCCAGTGCAAGCTATTTTTGTACTTTGTAAGCAATGTATTCAATTGATGTTTGTACGTTTCTAGTTAGTAGTCGTAGTGACCCAGCGAGAGAAACAAATCATCACAGCCATTTAAATGAGTCTAGATGCAATTTTTCTTCATCGCCTTCTAATCGTCTCCTTTCCGTTAATCAGCTAAGTTCCTTCCTGCGAATAGGTATTAAATAGACTTTTATCGAATGTTCTGAAAAGGATCTCAACGACAATTCTAGCCGAGACTTGTCGAGGCATACATCGACCTCAGCTTTCTCCCAATCCGTCCCACTGTCCAGGACATAGTATATATATTTACCGCGACCGGCGGAACATAAACTGTAACTAATCAATGTCAGGCAGATGTAAAACATGATCTTTCCTTAGCGTGATCGCTGCTATGGCCAGTTTCAAAGGAAACGCAAAGCGAAATGATAAGGCGACTTTGCTTTCATCCGATATGGCTTTGTTCTCCTCTTGGCCCCTACCGTCCACGCCTTCTCCTAACCACTATTAATGAAGTCCTCGAAGTGCCTGTGTTTCATCGCCATCGGTTCTCCAAAGTAATATTTGCAGGTCTAACTCCCCTTCTGTAGCCACTGTGCTAGGTATATGGCCAGTGCGGAATCACGAGTCGGAGATCGACTCAGGGAAGCTAAGCTACAGTATATTGAAAAAAAAAAAACGGTGAGGGAAGAAATTACGTTGGTGCATGAGGACATGTCGTGCAGAGCGAGCAATTCTGTTCCATGGGCTGTTTGAGACTTCCAGGAAGTTCCAGGACAAACATCCACATATTACACATACATACGCTACTTCGTCGTCAAGTTGTTCGTTTATTGGCTGGTTGGTTAGTAGGTCTGTACGTCTATCGAACACGGTAGTATAGTAGGCCGGCACAGGGTTAGTAGACAGACGTGTAGTCGAGGCACAAGCCGCCTTTCCGCATGGGCTATGTCTGCCAGGCTGTTATCGCATGTGTACAGCCGAGTGCGCCCGGACAGCACCATTGCCGGCGTCATTCGAGTACGCTTGATCTCGTTAAGTCTGTCGGCTGTGTAAAGTCAGCCGCGTCGATCTCCAGCATTTCTCTCTCTTTTTAGTTTTCTCTCCTTCGCCGTCAAACTCACCACTCTTCAGCACCGTCCATGAAAAGACAGAGACCTCGACTGAAGTGTGCGAACGTTATGGTCGGAGGCATGGTCGTTCCTCTAGCCAGAATTGGCGTGGCCGTCTCCTCTTTGCCGGCTCTCTGAGCGAGTTGTTTGAGCTTTGCACTGCCTGCTGATTGGTTGGACTTTCCGCGTGGCCCGCATTTTCAAATACAATAGGACTACGGAAGCAGTCAGCAGCAGAGCTGAGTTGAACAAAGCGCTTCTCCCCGTTCTGCGTCTAGTTCCCTACTGGGGTCGATCCGATGCGGTGCCTGCCGATGCTACTAAATTTGTATGTTCAACTTTAGTAAAGGCTCTCCAAACTTACACACATGCGTGTCGCTACGTATAAGCAGAGCGTACCTACGAATTCAGAACAAGCCACAGATCCAGATGAAGGTCGCCTTTCCCCTCCCCAGAGCACAGACGACATATTACTCTAGGCTGACAGACCAAATCTTAAGGGTACAGAGTTTGTTGTTCATATGTGCAATTGTGGCCAGTGAAGCATGTTGGCAATCACCGAACCAGTCTTGTCATGACCTTGATGCGGTGCAGGATCAGGACGTAGGCACGTATTGACTTGAAAAGTATTTTAGTAAACGCTTTCTTTTTTCTCTCAAAAAAGAGGTTCAACCTATAGAAATAATTCCATATCCTCAGAGTTTTCATAATTAGTAGTAGAAATGCAGAAGTGAGACCATCTAGCCAAGGGACTTAGCGCTAATGTAGCCCGCTATATAATGTAGTCGCTAATGTGTAGGGTGGACTTGTTTGGATTTTCAGGGTAACGCACTAAAACAAAAATGTCATTTTTCTCCTCATCGTAAAAATGCTTACACTTCTCTCTAACCGCCAAATTTTTGTAAGCACTTTTGCACAAAACGCCGCCTGGCAAATCTTGACGTTAGTGCAGAATGACATGCCTTACGTTTCGCAGATCCACGTATTGACTGCAATGATGACATGCTATTCAAAGTAATCCCATGCATATATGATAACATAGACATTCATAACAATATGGCTAAGCGGCGCTTAACGAATAACATTACATTGTTTGTAATATATCAGTTACGACAGGAAGATCCTGCAAATGAATGAGTTTCACACTTGAATGAGTCAGAGGGAGAATCTACAGAGTACCATTTTGATTCTTTATGAGGTTCAGATTTTATTAGGCAGTCGTTTATCTTACCATGATAAACAAACACCCGGCTTTGCGTTCAGTTCTTTCATACGCAACCGTATATGCAACGTGAAAAATTCTAGGCCCTTTATAGTTATCCGAGTTTTAGGAAAATCAATATCCTAGATTATACCTGTTGAAACACCGTTCCACACCGAATGCCGTAGCAAGAGGTTTATTTAAAAATGCTGGATATCTGACGTGTAGAAAAATTGCGCTGGCTAGCTAAGACACAATTAATTAACTAGAAATATTCAATGGCCAAACAAAGCTGGTTCAAAATATTCTTAGAGAATTACAACGAAATGGGGTTTCGGTTGATATTTTGGCGAAACAAATCAAAATACCCAGAAGTAAACAAGCACACGCCGGAAAAGCGCAATGTAACAATATAGATATAACAGTTTACTAATGGTGAAAGGCAAATTTTGTTTCCATGTTTGTAATTAGACGTCCTTTGGGTAACACAACGATACCCCTTTTATATTATGCATATCCTTACAACTATTTTTTACCCAAGTAGTCTGGTATTGCTATGCGGTGATGCTACTTACAAAGTTCTACTTACAACTTAAGAGTTACTTGCTTCGGGACTACAGTAGTAATTTAGGATGTACATCTTATCCTCCATCATCCGGTGCAATCCGCCAAAAAGCCCCTAAATAAAAATTTTAAAACCTATCAGTGTATTAGTGCTACATGTCAAGGCTTAATGGCATCCAGCTGCTTTTTTTACGATAATCGAACATTCCTTTTCGATACTCGCATTTTCTTAGCTTGAGGAGAAACATAAAACATATTTTTCTATAAGCTTGTTGCAAAATTATTCCCAAGTCAATTATCGCAAGTTCACTGTGATCATAATACCTCAACTTCTATAAGGTTATTAAAAACTTGTAAATC